ATGAATATAAAGCGTTCACTTATTATCAAAAATCTGCCGATATGGTAAATCCATATGGAATCAATTCTCTTGGTAATTGTTATAGAGATGGGATTGGAGTTGAAAAAGATGCAAATAAGGCATTGATTTATTATCAAAAATCTACTGATATGGGTAGTGCTCATGGAATGAACAGTCTTGGATACTGTTACCAAAAAGGAATAGGAGTTGAAAAGGATGGTCATAAGGCATTTATTTATTATCAAAAATCTGCCGATATGGGTATCACTAGCGGAATATATAATGTTGGGTATTGTTATGAAAATGGAATTGGAGTTGAAAAAGATAAACATAAGGCATTCATATATTATCAAAAAACTGCCAATATGGGATGCTCTAGTGGAATATATAATCTTGGTTATTGCTACAAGAACGGAATTGGAGTTGAAAAGGATAAATCCAAGGCATTTATTTATTATCAAAGATCTGCTGACATGGGTGATGCTGATGGTATGTATCAAGTTGGGAATTGTTATTATTTTGGAATTGGAGTTAAGAAGGATAACCATAAGGCAATTATTTGCTTTCAAAAATCTGCCGATATGGGCAATGCACGTGGAATGAATAGAATTGGGCTTTGTTATGAAAATGGAATTGGAGTTGAAAAGGATGAGCATAAGGCATTCATTTACTATAAAAAATCTGCTGATATGAATAATGTTGACGGAATTTATAACCTTGGAGATTGTTATGAAAAGGGAATTGGGGTTGAAAAGGATGAACTAAAAGCATTTATTTGTTATCAAAAATCTGCTGATATGGGTGATGCTGATGGAATAAAAAGAGTTGGACATTGTTACAAAAATGGAGTTGGAGTTGTAAAGGATGAGCATAAGGCATATATTTATTATCAAAAATCTGCTAATATGGGTAATTCCGGTGGAACATATTATGTTGGATATTGTTATCAAAATGGAATTGGAGTTGAAAGGGATGAATATAATGCTTTTATTTATTATCAAAAATCTGCTAATATGGATAATGTTGATGGTACATATCAAGTTGGTTATTGTTACCATTGTGGAATCGGAGTTGAAAAGGATGAATATAAAGCATTTACTTATTATAAAAAAGCTGCTGACATGGTGCTAGCGGATAAGTAATCTTGAACATTGTTATTAATGTGAAATTAATATTAAAGTTGATAGATACAAGGCAATTTTTTTTGCCAAAAATCTGTAAAAATGGAATATTCTTTTGCGGTATTCTAATTTAGATTCAGAAAATGAGATTGAGCAATATATAGCATTTACTTTAATTTAGATTCAGAAAATGAGATTGAGCAATATATAGCATTTACTTCAAAAATCTACTAATTCAAAGCTAACACAATATCATCTGTCTTTTTTATCATTAATTAATATTAGATTATCAGAAGCCATATAGTCTGACAAATTTATATTTATACGTAGTGTTTCAAATCGACTTAGATAAAATAAATATAAATTTCTCGGAAGTTTTCGTATGTTAGACAGTAATTCAACGCATTATCGACAGGTGGTTTCGGAAGTATATAAAATATGATAAAATACAGATAAAATTTAAATTTTTTGCGATATTCAATGAGTAATATAGATATTTTAACGACCTCAATTTTGGTTCAAAGCCGACTCAGTGGTATCAAAACATTGATTCGACTAGGTAGAGTTAATACCTCTATCCGGATATATACTATGTCATGTGATATAACGTGACATAATGTTTTATATCCGGATAGAGGTATTAACTCTACGACTAGGTCTATAATCACTATTTGTATATGTATACAATGTAGCACTATATGTCAAAATAAAATAACTTTAAAGAAGATTTCTACTTTAAAAAATCTCTATTTATGAGACAGCTGGGTTAGGTTCGGTTACGGTTATAGCCGGTCAGTGATTGGAGCCGGTTCTGGTCAGTTTCGCTCTGTTATACAGAACACTAACCTGCATGAAAATGTTACGGATCCGTATTGTTTCACCGACAATCACTTCATAGACACCACATTTTACAGACAATTATTCATAGACAAGTTCATTTTACCGACAGTCTATTTCACCGAAGTTCATTTCACCTACAAGTTTTTTTTTTATAAATTACACTAGCTTTAACTCTAGTTCTAACCTAACTCTAATGACATTGACTAGAATTACTTTGTCTGTAAAATGAGCTTCGGTGAAATAAACTGTCGGTGAAATGAACTTGTCGATAAGTAATTGTCAGCGAAATGTCTAAGAAGTGATTGTCGGTGAGTTGATGGGATCCCAAATGTTACACAAATATCAACCAATAAACCAATCTTTATGTAATGTACGTATGTATATAAATTATAAACTAATTGCCAATTGGCTTTAATGATGATGTTTCATGCTAATTTTTAAAATATTGGTATCTAACAAAATTTTTTATATGTTCATGCGAGCTTTTGGATCCGAAAAAGATCAGGAATAGCGCATATTAAATTCGCAGCCAAATATATAAGTAATTGGTTGCATAACTAGGTTGTGTTACGAAAGTTAATATTTTACAATGCACGTAATTTACTTGCATATGTACGTACGTACGTACTGGGGTGGTAACTCAACTAAGTAAACCAAAAACTATGTGAGCAAACTATGTAATTTGATATATTGCAGATTTTTCACGTTACACAAATAAATCAATTTGAAGGAAGTATATTATATACTATTGAGCGATACATTCTAAATGATTCAACTAATTATCAAGGCACGAAATCGCCTTGAAACTTTCACAAGATTCTCTATTAGCTTGCAGGTTTTGGGTATTCGTCATTTAGAATGGTTTAAATTTCTTTAATTAGAACGAAATTTTTCATTTATTTTAAGCAATAAATTAAAATTTTATAGAGAACTTCGCAAAAAATCAAACATAGTTACTTTGAAATAGTTCTGATGCGACGTTTCCGATCGAAAGAAATTAGAAAATTAAGTACACTATTTGTGTGAATCCTTTAGAATTTTGCGCTTTTCTTTATAATTAACAATTATATATAAATAGATCAATCGATCATTTTAATTTTACTGATAAAAATCTGATCATAATAAAACGATCAATGTAGCCAACATAGTTTTGATTTACTTAGTTAGTTACCACCACAGTACGTACGTACGTAAGTTTCAGTCACATTATGTATAAAACACCCGTTTTACAAATTTTGGACAATAATATTGTGTCATTTTATTTGACGATAATCTGAATTGTGACTCCTTAATCACAATATTTTGAACTCAAAACTATATATCATGTGTTTTACGAATTGCATAATCAATATACCGAAGTTTACACAAAATTAAATAATTACGGTAATTATAAACCCCATGTGTAATAAATACCGGTTAATGACTCGGGTTTTTGGAGTGATTATATAAGCTATCAAATAGAAAAATTATTTGCAAGCACTATCATAGTAAGCTACGAGACAAAAAATTTATTCGATGCCATGATTCAGAGCTTGGCAATAAATTTTTAGAAAAATCTTTTAACATAATCTCTAATTTGATAATTTGATTAATCAATATAAGTAAAATCAAAAATTTCTAATATTTTAATTTTATGTATTTACTTTCACATTAATTAAAATTTTTCGGATATGCTTTTATTTGGTGAGGCAGCCTACTGAATCAACACGAATAAAATAAAACCAGTTAATAAGTTTACGTAATAGCGCATTCATGAACAATTTATTTTAATCACTTGATTATTAAATGCATTGTTTTAATACCTATTTATTAATTGATGCAAGTAAAATAAATTTAACAAAAGTTGTGTAAAAGTAAATATTTATTGTAAATATAAACACTCCAATTCATTAATACTCTTGCACACTAACATAAATAAATAAGATATTAAGAAATTCATTTTAAATACTTAAAGTAATAAGTATTTTTTAAATAAGCACTTCAGAGCAAAGAATATACTAATAAAGAAAGTTTTCTTGATTATCAGAATAGCGTGAGAAAAGTTTTTCTTGATAATCCAAACAGTATGAATTACTAAGCTGTCAAATTTAAAATAAATGAGTATATTAGTAATAAAAATCCATATATATTTTTTTCACATATTACCTATTTTGCTTTATAATGATAAAGTTTTTAAAGTTTAAGAACGTATAGTAAAAAATACCCTTTGGTCATACGGATGAATGTTGTTATGCTACTCAAAAAAAGAGGACCAATATTACCGACCGTTTATTACTTTCCTTATTTGGGAAATATACATCGATTAGCGTTAACCAATTAAATTGTAAGTTTACGAAGCAAAACGGGGATCTCAGAAACAAATTTTAATTAACCATATGAGTTATACAGGTCATCTTAGTTACCGATTAAGTTTAGAATCCATATGAATTTTTGAAAAGTCATTCATGATTAACCACCATTAAACATCTCAATCATTAGCTAATCAAACATTGAGGGAGCTGCATGAGAATATCTTAAACCTATCTTGAAATGAATGTCGGAAGAACCGTTTTACTTATAATATTTACATAGTCAACCTCAAACTGGTTCTAACCCTAATTTTAGTTACTTCGCACTTCCGAATAAAGAAATTTGGAAGATAAGTCGGTAATGTTGGTTAAAAAAGGAAATCCGTATAACCGTTATCGCATCAGATGATCAGAGTATACAACCAATCAAAACTAATTTCTATCATATTATCGATATAATAATTAAATTTTAATGAAGAATGTGTATCATTACTAAATTTAGGAATGTCTGATTTACAAATTAACGTTAATAAAACGAAGTAACTTAACTTTGCGTGTTAAAATTTGTGATACCAAATATTAAAGTAAACAAAATTTATGCGATTAATCTCTAGTATCACTAATAAATTAATATAAATAAATTATTATACGTAACATTAAATTCGAATAACAGAATTTTTATGTGTATGTGCAGTGATATAAACTTCTTCATTGTTAAATCTTAAAACCGACGTTTCTTTGAAAAATAACGATGGAAGAACTAAGAAAACAAGAAAAAAATTTTAATAATGTTGAAATTAAAGGCTTTGGAATATTATCGACACACGTATTATATCATACAATCATAAATGCGTTAAAGATAATAGCCTTAATTTTTTACATAATTCTTTGGACATACCAAGCAGCTAACAGGCAATTCGAAGTTACAAATGACTCCAATGACTATAATGAGAGAATACTTATGGGTGCGGGGTTCATTTTGTCAATTTGTTTTCTTTTCGCCGAAGTTGCATTTATTTTCATAATTATTAAGTCAAAGAGATTTTATTTGGCGAAAAGACGCGAGTTATTAGCCTTTTTGATATTTTTGATGTATTCAGCTCTTTCGTTGGCTTTGAATATTTTTGTTGGTATTGAATTCTTAATTTGGGACGAATATTCAGTTATGATCGTATTGTTATGGATCATACCTATACTCTCATTAATAGAATTCATTACATGTAGACCAAAATGGTTTAAATTTGGGGAAGTTACGATAGATATTATTTTTAAATCTTTTAAAACAATAGTTATTTTTCTTTATATAGCAATTTATATCATTCAAATAACTCGAATTGATGATCCACGTAGTATCTCTTCATATTATAAGACGAATCTTTTAATTGTCTTTATCACAGGCCCGGTTAATTTATTAATAGAATTTTCCTTTACAATTCATTCGTTGTTCCAAGACTTACAGCAACAGAATATTATTCATAGAATTTTTCTTATAATATTTTTTACAACTTATTGTAGTATAGCTTTTTCAAATAACTACTTTTTACTTAATAACGTTTATTCTATTACTGATGGTTTAATTTGGGTTATTGCGGCTTTTTGTTTTTCGGAAATCGTGATAAAAGAAATTAGGTTAGTCAGTAATGTGTTATAAATTTATGTAAATTATGTTAGCAGCGTGTATAAATTTATGGAATTTAAATTAATAATATAATTATAGATAACATATACATAATAACTAATGTAATGCTATTTTATCTTTCATTGTACCGAACTTAAACCTAAAAAAATTGATATTTCATTATTGAATAATGTCCTAATCGTTAGGAATGTACGAACCATATTTTCAAAGATTAGAACATTGATTATATATTATTAAATTACATAAACCATCATAATTTATCAAAAGTCAGTCATGGTGGCAACTTAAATATTTCCACTCTGTAATATTCATAAATTTAAATTGAACCAACATATAAAAAAGTCAGTCCTGAAGTAATGTCAATAAAATTATTGCCAATGAAATAAATTTACTGTGCATTGAAAATCAAATTTTTAATGGTTCTAAATCGACATCGATTAAGTAAACTTGAATGCTAAGAAAATTTCTTTCTACTTGATGTGTTTAAGTTAATGAAAAAATCGAAAAAAAAACTTTTTTAGATGAATTAAATTAAGTAGTTGAAATGAAAGTCGGTGTAGTTATAGATAAATTTGTATTGCGATACCAAAAGCCTACTAAATAGTATCCGCAATTAATACCTGCTAGTTTTCTAGCAGGAAAAGGAATTACACAATTCGTCTTAGTCTTCCTGTATACATATTGGTGGATATAGGCTATTATAATGAAAGTTAAATTCTACGTGTAATTTTGTAATTTAGTTTTTATGATAAAGTTTTTTTTACGTCACCGCGGAATCTACGAAATTAACCAAAATAATAGTCTTACACCATTTGACGGCCAATTTCAAAAAGGTGATTGTTAATTGAATTTATAGATAGTTACTTTCCTAATATACTATACTGTATATCAAATATGCCAGATTATGTATGTACGTACAGTACGTACGAAATTTTAGTATTAAAATTTGCGTCAGATCAAAATTTGAAACTGTTTTATCAAAGGTAAAAATATGTATTAGTGACATTATAATTATTTAGATCTGACGCAAAAATTTAATTTACGTACATATGTACGCCACATTACCAACTGTAAAAAGGTGAGTTTGTAACTCCAACGAACATATGTTCTCGTAACCCGATTTTTCTGGCAGAAAGGACCTTCTATTGTTTCTACCCTTTCTGCTCGGTAAGTTCAAATTTGAATTCCCGTGGTTATATGGTCACGTGCCCACATTCAGGTCACGTTACTGGGCGTGCAGTCAAGAAATAAGAGCAAATGAAATTGTTTGTTTTGATTGACACCGATCAGTCCTACGAAAAAAAGTGAACCCGTAAAAAATACAAGAAAAGAGTATCTAAAACTATCTCGAGCATCGACAAAAAATGCTGAAACGATAATTTTATTAAAGACTTGCCCTAACCCTAATTTATTTAAAAGTCTAATGACCTCTGTAAAAGGCGGGTCTGATACTGGGCTCGAGGATATCAGGCACTGGGTCACAACCAGTGTTTAAAATTTGATGTTCTCAGTGTTCTCAGAGAACATTTAACAATTTTTATGAACATGAATTACTGGAAAATGTTCTCTATTTGAGAACATTTAACAAAATTTTTTAATATTAAAAAGTTTTTGATTTTCTAATACTGAGAACATTAAAATATTTTTGAGAACATTAAAATTTTAAAAAATGTTTTTTTGAGAACATAAAATCAATTTTGAATTTTAAACACTGGTCACAACTATCAATAAAATACCTATACTATCTATCTAATCTAAACATCTAATAGTGGAAGGCGTGGAAAGACCCGGTTTGAGTAATTAGACCTTAGATTAAAGGTATAGATTACGTCACGAGGTTCTATCCGATTCAAACTGATGGACCGCCGGTCCGTCCTAGGACCGGACCGGCCCTGTCTTTTTTGGGATGAACTGAAAAGATCGTCGGCCCTGATAAAATATAATCTGATTCTGCGATATTTGAACTAGCATATTAAATTTAGATCATGTACACAATTAGGCTGTTAATAAGTCCGACTAAAACCGCCTGTCATGCAGTCTGTCTTAAGACTAGGACTAGGCCAGTCTGGTCTTATATAGGACGGACTAAAAATATTATCTGTCCTAATATAATTAGCATAAAATTATTGTAACGAACATATATAGCCTAATTTTTTGTGATTTGGTTATGAGCATTATTATAATATACAGTACAAATGTTAATAAGGCACCATACAACTTTTAGATAGACAAATACAGTCGTCCTCCCCTATAATCACACAGTTGGGCACGTACTAATTAGGTGATTATAAAGAGGTGTGACCTTATAAAGGTACCTCTATATAAGCACAAATTATTATTGATATAAAAAAGTGATTTAATAGAGGTATTTTAAAAAATTTTTATTGCCTTTGGAATCTGGAGTTTTCCAAAGAAAACCCTTTTCTTTACTAAGTAAACCTCCCTTTTCGACATCTAAGTAAAGTTGTAGAGGAGTGTCTTGCAATCAAAATGGCGGTTAAAATGTTAAAATTGGCCTGGTGGATCGCGAGATATAAGGATTTTAGTCTTCACAACTAAAGAAAAAAGCATATAGTCATGAAGACTAAAATACTTATATCTCGCGATCTACTAGGCTGATTTTAACATTTTAATCGCCATTTTGATCGCAAGACATTACTCTACAACTTTACCTATAAGCTGAAAAGAGATTGAC